GACTTAGTGAAAATTTTAAAAATTCTCAATGATTTTAGGAAATTACACAGATGTATAAATATGATTGATAAAAGTTAATCAATTCAATTAAAACTTTGTCTATACAAAATTTTTATAAATAGATAAAACAACATGCGTTCATAAGTTAAATTTATAATTAAAACAAAAGTTAAAATTTCACATTATGTATATATATTTCTAGCTCTTGATATAAACAAAATATTTTTCAATAAAATAAATTTCTAGCTAACACTAGGTATAAATTAAAATTTAAAAAATTAGCTATTAATTATTACACATAACTCTTAAATCATCATTTACAATAGGTTAATCAAAATATTTCAAATTATAATTAGAACTTAATCAATATAATTACATTTTTCAAAATAACCAGTTCTAACACAGTACACTTATTATGACCTTTGTCTTCCTTTCGAGTATAATCTAGAACAGATCAATCTTTTTTATTTCTTCTTACTTGAAAATATTTGTAAGGATGAGTATCTTTCGCCCTACTAAAATTTTTGAAATTTATAGAATAATAATATAGAGACAATTTTTAATACAACATATAACAAAATAGCAATATTACATTCTTAACAAATTTAACCAACAAAATTATCTATACACATCATTCATCATTTAATCATACACATTTAATTTCTTATTTAATCAACCCAATCAATTTCAAAGCTTGAACTCATACCATTTTACTTATTCATACAATTTTAGTAAAACAAAAGTTATCCATGAACATTACTTCACATTGAACCAAATATCATTATCAATACCATAACTTAGTGCCACTTTATCCATTTCAAATCTGAATATTTCATTAATTAACAGTATTCTAGGTACTCTCATGCCCCTAAATCGCTGACAACGCACTTTTTCTAGCCATGAAGGACTTAGGTAGCATGGATAGTTGCTAGTCAGCTAAATCACACATGGATACAACGTGTACGTTCACAATCCTCTAAGCAAAGGTATAGTTAGGAGTTTGGTTAAGAAATGAGTGTGTGACCCGTAAATGCATCTCACTTTTACATTTTGTACACATCAGTAAACAACATTTACCACTCTTATTTTTCTCAAATTTCTACAATTAACTCCAGATCCTATACCCCAAGTGTATTCCTGAACTATCTATACAGTACCTCAACAGTGGTATATCAAATCATAGTGTTCTAATATATGTGTTACAATCACATTAATCAATATATTATAACATATGTGTTATAATCTCATCCGTCAATGTTAAACACATATATCATAATCGCATCAATTAGTGTTTTTGTAACACATATATTAGTTACTCTCTTTTTACTTACATTTTCTCAACACTTTCATATATTTCCACCAATTTCCTTTACCAGCAACTTTCATATATTCACATCCATCTCATACATTAGTAACTTTCATATATACACATCAATCTCATACATCACTATTCACTATTACATTTTCCATCATCTCTTTCTCATCATTTTATTAAGTAAAACATATCTATTATTTCATACATTCAGATTTAGTTAGTTCACATATTTATAATGAAACACATTTCTTTATCCAAATAGCTAAATGATTTTCATCAATCTCATACAAAATCAAGTTCTCCATTTCAACACTTATTCATAAAACAATAACACATTATCATACCAATCAGCACAATACACAGAGTGTTAGACACCCTCAAACTCAACCCAAATTGTACAGTCCAGAAATATATTGTCGGATATCACACTCTCTTGATCTTAACAAAGTCTTCTAGCCTAAAGTTTAGCATATTCAACTTCTTCATCATTCAACACATATATTATTCAAAAAGATAATAACTTGCAATATCATAATGATAACCTATCAACATTTTAAGTAGTTTTTAAATAATTTAATTTAATAACTTATGTGTTATACATGAGAAAATCACTAGTTACTTAAATTTATGTATATTAGAGATATCTCCAACTTGAATTTTTTTTAACAAAAACTAAATTTAAGACTTCAATTTAAATTTATTTGTAATTATATCTCTACATAAAAATAATTTATTTAAATTCCTCCATTATAAGTTTCCTAAAAATAGAGAAGGGCATAAGATTAATAATAATTTTTAACTCACATAGCAAGAACATACCCTAAAATTTGTTTAAAAGAAGATAAAATGAGTCAAATATTTTTATTATTTTTAATGATTTGTGTACTTAATAATAATTCTAATAAAAAATAATATAATGATTTTTTTTAAGATCACTTAATGATTATAACAATTCTAATAAAAAAAAAAGATAAAATAGATAACTTATCAACATTTTTAATTATTAATTTTAAATAATTTAATTTAATGAGGTAAGTGTGGTACTTGAGAAAATTACTAGTTACCTAAATTTATGTATATATCAACACCAAAGCAGTGATATATTGAACTTGAAATATTTTTTCACAAAAGCAAAATTTTGAAATTCAATTTAAATTTATTTGAGACTATAACCTTACATAATAATAAATCAGAAGAATATAAGGTATAAATAATGATTCATATTTTGTACTCACATTTACAGCTTTATTGAATCTTCCAAAATACCTTTTCTTTATTTATTTATTTCATTTAGCATGTTTTATTATTTCTTGCATTAAATTAGAGTTTTTATGAATACTTGTTATCTTTACTTTATATTTCATATTTTCTCTATTCTGAGATCTGGTTTTTGGTTGATTCTTTTTGCAATGGATTCCTGACTTCTTGGGCTTCAATTTGGACATATGAATCATGCTGTTTGAAGTTTGGAGCTATTTTTTTTATTAATTTTTGAAGTTCAGACTTAAAACATACCTTTTATATTTATGATTTTTATTTAGGGCTTTTAATTTATTATAATTACTTGTGGCAGCCTTGGCCCATTTATTTCTATTTTCATATAAGACTAGTATATATAGGGGTCAAAAGGTTGACTTTACGACCTCTCTTTTTCATAATTTTAGATTTTGTAAGACTCTTTCCTGTTTTTGAGAGAAAAACTTTTTTTCGTTATCATTACTTGCCTCTTTTCAGATTCTGCAACAAATTTAATTTTTGATTATGCTACGATTCACAATTATTCTTTTCTCGCAAATCATCTCGTCTCAAGTGTGGATTGCAAGGTCGATTGATCATTCCAATTTTGTCTTTTCACCTTCTCACAATTTTTGATTAAGATTGGTCCATGTATAATTCGATTGAACTTTGTTTTTATTCTTGAGTGTAATATTGATCGATTGATTTCTTTTGCATTTGAGATTTAGGCAAATTCAGTATAGTAATCCTAGTTCGTGTCTGTGATTCGTAGTTTTTAATTGCGTTCGTTCGTTTTAATCTACGTTTATTTATTCTCAATTTATTTTTGTTTTTCTGGGTTAAATTATTTTTTGTTTTTGTTTTAAATTTGTTTTCATTTTTAGTTTGCATTTTTATTTTAATCTGCATTTTCATTTTGGTTTGATTTGCATTCGTGTTGATTGCATTTGTTAATTGCTTTCATTTTTTTATTTAATTCACTTTCTGGATTTAATTCATTTTACTGCATTTTTTTTTGTTTTAATTCAATTCTCTGTTGCTAATTTACGTTTTATTTAATTTCTTAAAAATCATCCCCCTAATCTAACCACTTTTGTATGTTTAAAATTGGAAATAGAATGATTTGTGTCCTTGTGAGATGACCTAGATTTGCTCTTTATATTGCAAAATTATTTGAAAAATCTAGTTTTATTTGAAATCATTACAATGTAGTTATCAATAAATAAAAATAATAATATAATTAATGAGAGAAATATAATATATCGGAAAGAAAATATTAAAGCATCCTAAGAATATTATAATTCATCGCTAAGTATTTTAACGTTTGATCTATTTTACAAATTAATGTAGGTTGTAGAAGATTCTGGTCCGTGGAACTTGGGCAACTATGGTAAGTAAAAACGCAGAGGAGTTAAAACGATAGTTTCCCACACAGCAAAAAAGTTGAGCACGGAATTGGCGAAAAGCTGCGATGGATAAACAAACTTGTTTATATATACCAAGTAATCCAAGGGTATCAATTTTATTCGATATGTGATATACCAACCAATTCCAAAGATTCTCGAAAGGAATAAGATAATCTTAAAGAAACGTGCTGTTTTCATTGAAATTGAAAACGAATGTTTCAACTTCCACAGCAAAAGAAGAACTGCACAGCAAAGACGTCAATAAAAAATCGAATAACAGCGATTTTTGTAAAAATCATATCAGCATAATTCTTCTTCATTCATTCTTTTTACAGATGTGGACAGAATAAATTAAAGGTGAATTCTACCAAACTCTAAAAAATAAAAATATTCTATACTCTTGTATACATGAAATAATTATAACCATTAATTTTAGTAATATAATTAGTAATGTATTTAAAAAAACATAAATATTTTTTAATATTTTAATATAATATAGAGAGAACATTCAATATTCCTTTCAAATTTAGTTATACGGTAGCAAGTACCTAAATTAAACAGAAATTAATAGTCTCTTTTCTAGTCACACAATCCTTATGTAATTTCCAAACACGCCAACTACTCTTGACAACCAAAACTTTCTACCGCGTAACATTCAGAAAGATTAGATAAAGGAAAATTAACATTAAGTCTGAAGAATGGAGACCTAGTCTAAACTGATCTTTGAGATTAAATTATTATCAAGTTTGGATAACGAGTTTCCCATTATAAACTAATATTACAAGAACAACTACGTAATTGGTACAAGGTCTAGTGGACATGGTAAAACTAAAATGTATATTTGTTTGACTTTGATATGGGAATCTTCTTAATTAGTCTACCCTTTGATCGAGCAACATATTGCTGCTAAAGAACCGTCCATTATCGAATAAACAATTAAATAATTACGGTAACATTCTTATAAATAGAGGCTTAACATGCAACTTTAAACTCACAAGCAATCACTTACCCAGAATCATAAAAGAGTAGTACTGAGAAGCATGATGAAACTTGTCTACCTCGTTATTGCCATTTTGGCTTTGACATCCTCTGTTGCCTCTGCCTATGACCCCAGCCCTTTGCAAGACTTTTGCGTGGCATTAAATGACACCAAACTTGGTGGTATGTATAAACATTTCTTATATCATATGGGTTGCTATTGAATCTACAGTCTGTTTGACATTTAGGTCATATCCCAAGAGTGATTATAATTGATCTTTTACATTCATTTTTTGTCTTGTAAATTGTAGTATTTGTGAATGGAAAATTATGCAAAGATCCAAAACTTGTGAAAGCTGAAGATTTCTTCAAACATGTGGACGCTGGAAATACCACTAACCCACTTGGCGCGCAAGTGACTCCAGTTTTTGTTGATCAGCTTCCAGGATTAAACACACTTGGCATATCCTTAGCTCGCGTAGATTTTGCACCCAAGGGTTTAAACTCTCCCCACACTCACCCTCGAGGTACAGAAATCCTTATAGTCCTTGAGGGAACTCTCTACGTTGGATTTGTCACTTCCAATCAAGACAAAAATCGTCTCTTTACCAAAGTGCTAAATAAGGGTGATGTGTTCGTGTTCCCAATTGGTCTCATCCATTTCCAACTAAATGTGGGGTATGGCAATGCAGTTGCTATCGCTGCTCTCAGCAGTCAAAACCCAGGAACAATCACTATTGCAAATGCTTTGTTTAAAGCAAATCCACCTATTTCTCCACAAGTTCTTACCAAAGCTTTCCAAGTAGACAAGAGCGTAATTGATTTACTTGAAAAGCATATCTAAGTATACAACAACAACTAGATTGAGGACACTATTCATCCTTTCGTTATGATTGCGTACTGATTTCAGTGTTTCGATAATTTTATGCAGTTCACCCTCTACAGATAATTTCTGTCATCATAAACTGCGGATGAGTTATTCTTGTATACTGTTGTTCTATTTGGAGTTTGTTCTGTCCCACCCACAGTTCTTCTCAATTTAATGTAAGATTCAAATTCTATTTTCTGAAGAAAAAAAAACATATTAAATTACTTAATTAAATGATTACCCAGCGTAGTCAAACTCATTTACAAATGTGAACTCAACTTAACATGATATTTTCAAACAATGATAAGCAGCACTATACCAATTTGAAAAAGATAACCATGTTCCAAGAGTATAGTCCTGTTAGAGAACCACAACCAGAATATTTAATTGGTAATTTAATAAGGTCCCAAGTTTGTAAGATGAAAATTCAAAAACTATGTTGAGGACCTTCCTGAAATAATATTAGTAATAGCATTATTAATAAATCACCAAATTAAGATTTTACATGTGAGAAAATTAAACACAACTAAATAAAATTAAAATATAACACAAGTGCTTTTAATTAAATATTAGTGGTAGAAGTGGATTTAACAAGAAAAATAGAAAATAAAGTATGAGAGATAATATTATAAACGAACAAAGAAAAATAAAGCAGTTTATTATTTTCAAATATTGAGGCATTACTTGAATTCTTTTAATAAAATTGGAATAAGTTATCACACAAAACTTGCAACCGCAAATTCATTGGGGCTCGATTCTTCAACTCCTTTCAATTCATAATGAAACTATTTAATTTCCATGAACAAAAAATCGGAATAAGGAAGAAGATTAAGCACTAATTAATGTTTATCTACCACCCTTAATTGATTACTTAAAAGAGTTATTAGATGTTGATATTGAAACTTATGATACATTATCAAGACAAAATTTTCAATGCAAACAGCCTTATTATCGACAATTAATGGTTTTTTTTAGCCTATGGTATGTTACTAGATAAAGTATTAAAGGAGAATTAATTTACCCTTATTTTTGTATTGAAATCAATTATTGTCATTTGTCATTTAAAATAAGATTTTAACCATTGTTACTCGTTACCATTGACAGGAAATAATGTAATAGTTATAACTTCAAAATTTTTTGAAAGTGATATTTGTAAAATCTAAAAAGAAAAAGTAAAGAATTATTGAAGATGATATTATTAAGACATAATTTGGATGAGATGCACATAGAATTTTTTATTTTTATTTTTTGCATAAGTATAATTAGGACATTATTAGATATTGAGACAAAATGAAAGATGCCCTAAAAGCTCAATTAAATTTAAAACATACAACGCTTAATAAGTCACTTCATCGCATTAGACAAGAGATAAGTGCATAATTCTTCCTTCTTACTTTATGTAACATCTTAATTTAATTTTTTCAAATAAATCAATTTCACAAAAATAGAAATAATAAAGATTTCATTTTAAATAGTTTCTAATGCATAAGTTTAGTAAAATACTTCAAGATAAGGATAGATTACAAATTTGAATCAAATCATTGTTACAGGACCTATCAATACATCACAATTTTAAAAATAAAGTTTCTAAGTCCTATAGTAGTTTCATCCATCCCTTCACTGAGTCTGGTGCTGATCATCTTGGTCACTTGAAAAATAAATGTAAGAGTGAGTACTTTACACTATCACACACACATATACAAGCATAGAGTCTCACCTTTCCGATTCCACACATTTTCTAACATAATTTAAATCATACATTAATAAGTACAAGGTGCTAATTCTATCATTCCATTTTCACTCACAAACAGATGCGCTCATTACATGCTAGTCAGACTCACTGTGGCACTGTGATCTCAGTTTCCTAAAGCCCTCAACCTCAAGGACTTATTTAGTTTCACACCATGAATGGTTGCCGGATAGCTCCTGTCACACAAAATCAGAATACTAACTAGCAAGTGTACTAGGTAGTTGTAGCAAGTAATAAAATTTAGAAATCAATATGAGTCTCAAGTATCGTCCTCAGGGATTAGTTCTATCAATTACCATTTCACAAATCAATAACTAGTTGAGTAAAACAAATTTGGAGTGTTTTGAATTATTTAACAAACAAAAACAATAAAGTGCATAAATCTAAAAAATACAGTAAAATAAAGCTATGAATTTAGAAATGAAATGATATGTAAATGAAGTTAGGATTGATTTCACCTCTTTATCAATTGCAAAACTAAAGTAGATCTGAACTCTAAGATTCTTAATTGATTGATGATCAATTTCACTAGATTAATCAAAGGACAATTTCTTGCCTCATTGATCATAATATCTAACTAAACTACCTTAATTCCTTAGGTGTAATTCAATCAAACATTGCATTAGGCATTAGAAATTAAGAGATCACAAGATCACAAATTCTTATCCCTAAGATATCCATAACCTTGACATTTAATTCAGATATGAGAAATAAACTCAATTTTCATTGATGAAGATTCCTTTAAGTTCAATTGAATGAATGATTAGTTCATAATTGCATTAAGGAAAGAATTAAACGTTCAATACAATCAAGATCTTAAAATCCAGATCCACAATCAATTTACAATATCAAAATTAGATCCATCAATCCATAACAAAAAGAAATCAGAACATGTTCCTAAAAGAAAAGAGAGAGAAAGAGTAGAAAAAGAGGAGCTGCAAAATTTCTTTATAAATCCAATCCCTAGCCTGATTCCTCAAGGTCTAGAGCTTGGAAGTTGCCTCCAATCTCCCTCTCTAACTCTCCTAAGATGTAGAAATGAAAAGAAAACAAAAAATGGCAAAAGACTTCCAATTATGAACTCTTAACTTCTATTTATAATATTTTTCCCACCTTTTCCACTTCCACACTTTAATCTCTGAGGATTATAGCATAAAAGGTCTTCTAAAAGTTTCTACAACTAAAATAGGAACTCAAATCTTCCAAAGTTGACAATTAGAAGTGATTTTTAAAATTCTAGTATATTGCGTAGACACTCTCAGCACTTAGAGTGTCCACGTGCATGTATTCTGTGCAAATAAGCCTTGTACATGGCTACTTTAAGTGACCAGAACGTCCATGTGCAACTTTGAGTGGCTACTTTCAGCACTTAGAGTATACACTCAATTCTGCGTGTGGCTACTCTCAGCACTTAGAGTGGACATTCTCTTTGATCTTCATGGATTTTTCTCTTCAAAGTGTTAACTCTGCACCCAAAGTGGCTACGCCCAACACATAACACTTGATTTTTCATCTTTTAAGCTCACTTCGTCTACTTCCTTCAGTTCAATCTTCAACTCAAACATCTTCAACTCAAGCTTTTGCACAAAGTTCTTTTTAAGCAAAATTGTTCAAAATTGGAATAAAATCTAAAATTCTAAACTATTTACACAATTATAAATATGAATACATTTTTTATGGTATTTTCAAGTTTATTTACTATTTAACTCCTTATTTAGTAACAAAAACTACGCTAAAAATATAGTAAAATGTGAATTTATCACCTTCTGCTCCACAGATACAACGTGTGCGGTATTGAGCCCTCCAAGCAAAGGTGTTAGTCAGAGGCCGAGTCAGGGGGAGAGTGTGTGGCCTATAGTGCATCCACGTTCATTGTTGGTGTCACCACCACTCTCTCTTCCTCAAGGTATTTCTACTGCCCCATCTTCCACACTCTCAGTGTATCGCTAAACCATTCATAGTTTTTTCAATATTTGAAACACAATCACACTCAACATGCCATTCACACACATTCTCGCCCATTTCATAATATCCAATATCAATCAATGGCATGTTTAAGCATTTCACCCACATTATCAATCACATCATTACACTCAATTTCACACATGGCACGTATGCCCACATTCAATCACATTATACTTAAACATCAAATTTCATCAAAACTCCATCATAATCAAATTTCTACATCACACACATTATACTCAATATCTATCACACTATAACCTATGCAATCTTTTCCCTGCAATCTCACTACAATCAAGTCATTTTCACTAAAACACTCATATTCCAATATTTGAATCATTCCCCTTCACAAACATAATCGTACAAATGAATTCTAAGCATAAGAGAAAGGGTAGAGTCCCTCTTACCTTGAAATGAAGACTCACAACACAAATCAACGGTGAAAATGTTTCTCACATGGATTTTCGTCTTAAGCACAAGAAAAACTCCATGAGAAACTGAAAGAACACGAAGAAAAATCAGAATAAAGAAGAAGATTAAACACTAATTGATGTTTATCTACCACCCTTAATTGATTACTTAAAAGAGTTATTACATGTTGATATTGAAACTTATGTGCATTATTAAGACAAAATTTTCAATGCAAACAGCCTTATTATCGACAATTAATGGTTTTTTAGCCTATGGTATGTTATCTAGATAAAGTATTAAAGGAGAATTAATTTGCCCTTATTTTTGTATTGAAAGTTTGAAACTAATTATTGTCATTTGTCATTTAAAATAAGATTTTAACCATTGTTACTCGCTACCATTGACAGGAAATAATGTAATAGTTATAACTTTAAAATGTTTTGAAAGTGATATTTGTAAAATCTAAAAAGAAAAAGTAAAGAGGTAAATAATAACTGAATTTTTTTAGTTTCCTTATTGAAGATGATATTATTAAGACATAATTTGGATGAGATGCACATAGAATATATATATATATATATATATATATATATATATATATATTTGCATAAGTATAATTAGGACATTATTAGATATTAAGACAAAATGAAAGATGCCCTAAAAGCTCAATTAAATTTAAAACATACAACACTTAAGAAGTCACTTCATCCCATTAGACAAGAGATAAGTGCATAATTCTTCCTTCATGCTTTATGTAACACCTTAATTTAATTTTTTTAAATAAATAAATTTCATAAAAATAGGAATAATAAAGATTTCATTTCAAATAGTTCCCATTGCATAATTCAGTAAAATACTTCAAGAAAAGGATAGATTACAAATTTGAATCAAATCATTGCTACAGGACCTATCAATACATCACAATTTTAAAAATAAAGTTTCTAAGTCATATAGCAGTTTCATTCATCCCTTCACTGAGATCGGTGCAGATCGTCTTGGTCACCTGAAAAATAAATGTAAGGGTGAGTACTTTACACTATCACATACACAATACAAGCATAGAGTCTCACCTTGCCTATTCCACACATTTTCTAACGTAATTTAAATCATACATCAACAAGTACAAGGTACTAATTCTATCATTCCATTTTCACTCACAAACATGTGCGCTCACTACACCATCAAATAATCATCATACAACACCCACATGCGCTCACTGCACTCTAGTCATGCTCACTGTGACACTATAATCACAGTTTCTTAATGCCCTCAGCCTCAAGGACTTACTTAGTTTCACACCATGAATGATCATCGAATAGCTCCTGCTCCATAGATACAACATGTGTGGTATTGAGCCCTCCAAACAAAGGTGTTAGTCAGAGGCCGAGTCAAGAGGAGAGTGTGTGGCCTATGGTGCATCCACGCTCACTGTTGGTGTCACCACCACTCTCTCTTCCTCAAGATATTTCTACCGCCCCATTTTCCACACTCTTAGTGTATCGTTGAACCATTCATAGTTTTTCAATATTTCAAACACAATCACACTCAGCATGTCATTCACACACATTCTCGCCCATTTCATAATATTCAATATCAATCAATGACATGTCTACGTATTTCACCCACATTATCAATCACATCATTATATTCAATTTCACACATGGCACGTATGCCCACATTCAATCACATTATACTTAAACATCAAATCTCATCAAAACTCCATCACAATCAAATTTCTATATCACACACATTATACTCAATATCCATCACACTATAACCTATGCAATCCTTTTACTACAATCTCACTACAATCAAGTCATTTTCATTAAAACACACATATTCCAATATTTGAATCATTCCCCTTCACAAACATAATCATACAAACAAATTCTAAGCATAAGAGCAAGGGTAGAGTCCCTCTTACCTTGAAATGAAGACCCACAACACAAATCAATGGTGAAAACGTTTCTCACACAAAGAACACATGGAAAACTCCATGAGAAACTGAAAGAAGACAAAGAAAAAGGACAAAAACTGAAACCCTAGCTCTTAGAACTTATCAATGGCTTTGGAGGCAGTTTAATTGGTGAAATAAGGTTAACGGTCGAGAGAATCAAAGAGATTTCGAAGAGAGGATGGGAAATGAATTTTCCAAACCCTAAACCCCTCAAATACCTTTTTAGTCACAATATTCTCACTACAGCGAGACATTTCCTCGCTGCAGCAACACCTTCTCTCACTACAGCGAAAATATCAGAGAGAATTACACTCTGGTTTCTACAAAATCTCGCTATAGTGAGGCCCTTTCGCTACAGCGAGACTGCATCTAGAAAATACCTTCTCTTTGTTGTCCTCTCGCTATAGCGAGAACACAGCAGATGCACCCCTTTCGCCTAGGATACTCTCGCTACACCAAGAATCCTCTCGCTACAGCAAAAATGTCTCTACAGTTCACACTTAGCCTATTCTCCTCACTAAATCCTAACCAACCACAAGTCAAATATTTTCAATATAGAATCAACATTCACACTCATGTTCATATACCCATATTCATATACATCAACATCATCACACATATATATACTTATATTCACATCATCATTATATAAATCAAACACATAAACATATAGCAATCCACATATTTATATTACAAACAAAATACTATTACAAAACTCGAGGCATTACAACTCTCTCCTCCTTTAGAAAATTTCGTATTAACAAATAAAATACTATTACAAAACTCTGGGCGTTGCAACTTTCTCCTCCTTTAGGGAATTTCGTCCCCAAAATTCAACCAATCACACAAATAATTCCAGATACAACTCTCTTATTTTACTCTTCGTTTCTCATGTAGCATCTCCCTCATCACTCGAGCTATATATCACCTTCACCAACGAAATCTCCTTGTCCCTCAGCTGCTTGACATGGTGACCCACAATCTTCACCAGGTACACATCATAGGACAAGACCTCTTTTACTTGAATCGGGTCAAGTTTGATCACGTGAGAAGGATCCGCCACATACTTCCTAAGTTGTGACACATGGAACACCAGATGTAGGTTTGAGAGATTCAGAGGTAGCACTATCCGATACGCTGCAGGACCAATTCTACTCAGCACTTCGAATGGCCCAATGAACTTAGGAGATCACTTCCTAGACTTTAGAACTCTCCCAATTCGCCATAGAACTGTACACCACAACAAAATGGTGTAGCAGAACTAATGAATAGAACATTGCTTGAGAGAGCTCATTGTGTAACAGCCTACTGAATTTAGTTTATGCTTAAGTCATAATTACTAAATGTAGTAGTTGCATTACATTAATTAAAAATTTTGTTTATTCCACTCCTTCATTTCATATTGATTTTTGTAGTAAATTATCAGATGTATAAAGGAACGAAATGTTATAAAAACAAAAATAAAAGAAAATCAAATATGAAAATAACCTGGATAAACATAGTAATTAATTTAACCCATACATTTTATAGAGAGTTAACTAGATACATATATGTATATATAACACCATGTTATTTACATACAGTCAGGAACACATATAAGCACCACTACATACAAAAAGATCAGTGGCCCATGTCATCAAAGTGCAGTCCTAACGAGATTTCATAGGACAATTTAGAACTAATATTAGTGTTCTACAGCTACTTTCATGGCCTAGTAAACTATCCTACCAAAAAAGGGCTATATTGTGCAAAGTTAACTACTTCACTAACTACTCAGACAGAAAACCATTGGCCATAGCAGGCCAAATAGGAGTATAGTCATCAGGTCCAGGAGAGAATGATGATGAGTCTGTAGCTTCTGATGGGTCACTTTCAGATTCAAGCGGATCTCTGGGGATCACCTGCAAAGGCGAAACAGATATAGGTTTTGTATAATCTGCAGGAGCAGGATGTGTTGCGGACAGTGGAAATGCAAAATATGGAGTAGCAGGGTCGAATGCAAGATGAAAAAAGGTACAAAAAAGTCCCTATTTCTAAAGAAATAAACCCTAAAACGACACGATCCAACTATATAAAGAGAGTCAAAGGTAGGATCATAGTGTAGCTGCATATCGAGGAACTCAATGTAGATCATTGTTGTTGCGTCCATCATGTAAATCTGATAATGAAACGGAAACTAAGTGAGAATTTCTAAAAATTCTTAGTAGGGCTGTGTTTCTATGTGACATCGCTTTCATTCTCAGTTGCTTCGGTTTTTATTTGAATAAAGGGTTGTTAAATCAATAAGGAAATATTTCAATTATGATTACTGAAAACATGGCCCGAAATAAAGTAAATCTTATGTCTAACATTTGCAATACACAGGATCATAATGATTATGATACACATATATCAGAAATTAAATAAATAATTAAGGGACTCAACATGAATCATACATGTGACATAATAATACTTAAAGTTGTAACTGACAGCAACATTGAAATGAATTAATATTAATTAAAATACTTTCAATCACATAATAAGGTACTTAATCCTCATATATGTTCCTATCCTTGGTCCCCTGGGAGTTCTTGGCCATAAGACTCCTGGGTAATTGTAATGCCCCTAATTTTGTAATATTAATTTTGATAGTTATATATATATATACCTAAATATATATTCATGTGTGTATGTATGTATATATGTATTTATGTGTAAGCATGACTGGTTGGGCTACGTGCAGGGCGAGATACTGAGCTGTTCTCGCTGTAGCGAGAAGGCCCTGGGAGGAAGGACCAGAACTATCGCCTTCTCGCTGTAGCGAAAGAGCGACAGTCTGGGTGCATTTCTGGGTGCATTTCTGGGTGCAGTCTCGCTGTAGCGAGATTCTGCAAAAACCAAAGTGCAGTTTTCTCTAGTTTTTTTGCTGTAGCGAGGGGTCGTGTCGCAATATCTCGCTGTAGCAAGAGTGTCACGATCAGAGGGGTTTTAAAAGGGGGTTTAGGGATTTGAGATTCATTTCTCAAATTTCCTCCCAAATCTCGTCAATCCTCTTGACCTAGAATCCTTGTCCACTAATTAACTGCCTCCAAAGCCGTTCGGGAGTGAGATTAGAGTTCGGATTTGTGTGGGGAAAGCTTGGAGGTGAATTTTAAACGGTTAGGGTTTTTTTTTTCCTTTCCTTTCTCTGTTCTTGGTGATTTTTGGGGTTCTCATGGAATTCTTCCATGTGTTTAGGCCGAAAGCCGTGTGGGGAGCATTTCCATGGTTGAGTTCGGACGTGGGTCTTCAATCCAAGGTAAGGGGGGACTCTACCCTACTGAAATGTGTGTGATTGGGGTGTGTAACGCTGTGTAATGTGCTGTGAATGGTTCAGCGATACACTGGGGGTGTGGGAGATGAGGATGGTAGAAATACCTTGGAGAAGAGTGAGTGGTGGTGACACTGACTGTGGAACGGGTGCACCACAGGCCACACACTCTCTTCCTGACTAGATCTCTGATCATTACCTTTGCTGAGCAACCTGTGACTGCCCATGTGGTATCCGTGAGGCGGGAGTAACCGGCGACCATTCATGGTGTAAATCTGTGATCACAGTGTCAATGTGAGTGTGGCTGGCGTGCATATGCATGGGTTCATGATTTATGCTTGTGGATGTGATAACGTTGCCTGTGCCTGTATTTGTTTAATGTATTGGAAATGTGCTGGAGGTGAGACTTTATGCTAAATTGTATGTTTTAGTAGTGTAGAGTACTCACCCTTACATTCATTTTTCAGGTAATCAAGAGGATCAGCACTGGGCTCAGTGAAGGGGTGGATGGAACTGCTATAGGGCTTAGAATATTATTTTGAGAACTATTGTATTTGGAATAAGTCCTGTAACAACTGTTCGATCTAATTTGTAAACCCTTTCTTTATTTGAAATGCTTAATGAACTTGGATTGAAAATGGAAATTTTATTTTTTTAAAAATTTTTAAAATTCTTTATTTATTGGAATTAAATTAAGGTGTTACAGTAACAATCTGCTTATCAGGATCGAGCTCGTTCCTATACAGGATTTGTCAGGTTTACTTTCACCAACGCTTCCACCGACTTATTCCTCTTAACTTTTTATCCGGAGCTGGCCCAAGTGATATAGGACTTTCTTATAACGTTCAATCATCTTAGACTTTCATAACTTTCATATTGTATCTCACATATCTCTTTGAAATTTTACAATTTATCCATAATTCTTACAATTATACATCATAAAAAAAAACACTGCATATATTATGTATTAAATGATTTAAAACATAAAATAGATAGGCACACACATCCATATAAGCATATCAACATAGATAGAACCCTACCTCCTTTGACCACTAATTTGATTCCACAGATGTTTCTAAGTTGCAAGTGTAGGTGAGCTTGAGAGAAAAGCTTATGGAGGTAAGAAAAGGAGAAAGATAGAGAAGAGAATGAGGGAGAGAAGTGATAAATTTATAAAGAGATAAGGGAAAGCAAAATATCCAAGTGGTCATGATAAATGGAGTTACTTGGCAAATTTTGATTGGTTCATAAATCTTATGGTCTCAAATGAGAAGGTTGATTATGAGCCATTGCATCAAGGTGTGGTGGATGGCTTCCCCACCTTGGATCTAGGACAAATAATATTATTTTATTCTGGTAATTTAAATTACTAAAGCTATACTAGTTTCTCTTCTAAGAGGAAACTCTACTGTAAAATTTTAATTCTAGTCAACCTAACCAACATAGATTTGAATTCTAATAAATATTTAATTAATCTATTATTAACTTTATTCATGTAAATTAATTGAGAAAATCAATTAATAGCATAAAATAGACACTTAAAATTTTGAACGTTATAGAAGGAGCTACGGAATGGGCCCACGTTGACTTCTTCCGCTCTTAGTATTAGACACCGCCATCTTTGCCCTCTTGGTCCTGTTAGCTAGAATTTTTTTCCTCATTTTTCTATCAGCAGAAAATAACGTGAGCACTCTAGAAAGTGGAATAATAATGGGAGAGTTTATGCTAATGTTCACTACGACAACTAAAGATACACAAATAGAGATAAACAAAACCACACAAATGAATTATGACAAATGGTGTTTGAATAAAAATAGTAGATGGAGGGTTCAACAGAACACATT